AGTTCTTGGGTAAATGCTGATGATGTTCATTCCCTCATTTGATAAGGGCTTTCTGTTTTAGGTTCCTTGATTATCCTGCCTTGTCCTACTCAGTGGCAGTTTGAAGATACTGGTAATGTCAGGAGGCCAGTGACTTTACTCGCCTCTTGCTGATCATGTAGTGTACTGATTTGGTTCTGCAAATTCCTATTTCTCTGTCTTCTCTTCTGGAGTTGCGGACGCCGAATGCTGAATTTCTATCTCTTCTAAAGTCGAGTAGCTCACATGCCGATGTCACAAGATAATTGACGTGGATCCACGCTATTTTCTATGCCATCTTGCGTATTGTGGGTGTGGCTATGCCAAATCATTTAGATCAGAGGTGCCCAGATGTTTGAAAACTACAACTCCCATGATGCTTTGTCATTCGAAATGCATTCTAAAGGCATGAAAAGCATCATGGGAGCTGTCGTTCTACAACATCTGGGGATCTACCTTTTAGGCACCATTTATTTAATGCCAAAACATATGTTCCTTGCTATATTGTGGTTCCTGGATCCCTTCAGTGTATTTATAGTGTTCTTTTTTGTGATTTCAAATGGCTATCCTTTTGACCATTACTTTGCTTGCTGATCTGCTCAGGAATCCATTGTCCTTGGCAAGTTATTCTATAACTCTGTCTTTTGTGAAGCCCAGCTACTTCCAAGGATTGATAACACCTGCAACCCAAACCTGTATAGGTAGGGACTGGGGAGGACACTAAGGGCAGACATGTCCTTATTCTCAGGATGGTAAGAGGTATAAAACCTCCTTTGTACTAATGTGGGTGTCTTACTGACCACTAGGTTTTTTTTTTTTTTTTATAAATATTTTTTGTAATGCAGGAGTAACTGTACACCTCGGCAGCACAAGGATTAATGATGTGCAAGCTTTTGTCAGCCAGCACATCATTAACCCTTGTGCCGCCGAGGTGTACGGTTTGCCCAGAGTTCAATTTTATGATAGGATTTCAGAATTCGTTTCAGAAGAACCACAAAATCTTGCAGTGCAAAAGTTTACTTGTCACATTCATATATTATATCTGTAAAGAAGAATTAAGTTTTATATTACTAGTTTTCATAATAGTTGTTTTTCTATTTGCAGTTTTGCTAATTAAGAAAAAAAAAGGGGGGAGCAGCAGCAGTAATAATAATTTGAAAAAAGAGGATTTAGAAAAAAAAATTATTGAACAAGTGAGTGGGCAATTGACAATCCACTTAAATATTACACGTTGAGAAGAATAAAGCTTCCCTACACATTAAGTCTATTGTAGTAATGATCATACCTCAATGTGGGGAAGAACACAGTGCCCTATCAGCTTATGCCACACAACATCAATCAGAAATTCTGGATGAGACTATTACAATGAAATACATTTTTTAAAAGGGGGAAGTAGCAGTAGTAGTAATTTATTTGTTTATGTTGTTCAATGCCATATTTTTTTAATTAATTTTTTTTTTTTACGTTTTTTGAAAAATATTTGAATTTGAAGGCAGTTTGCAACCGGACAAGTTAAAATCACTAAAATGAAAGGCATTTTTTAAAAACAGGTGGCATATCTCCTTAATGGACCACCTTTCTTTTAATTGAAAAAGAGCTCCCACTTCATGTGGGCAATCAGGTGGCTCCTATTTTGACATGGCCATGGAATAAAATCAAGCCAAATGTTTAAGAATATATGTCTTTGGGATGATGATAAGTCTGACTGTCCCTATCAACATGCCTCTGTTAACTAGTAGTACTATCCTGCTTTGCCTAAGGGTGGCAGTAGTAAAGTACATGGTGCTGCCGCTCCCCTTTTTAAATGTCTTTAATCACCTTACATGATGTTTTTATTGAAACTTGGGTTACTGCTTGGTGGATTTACTACTACTGCTGTGTTTGACTTTAAGATTAAGCACGAGACTGAACAAAGCACACAGTATACTGCACAGTGCTTGCAGTGGTGCTGTATAACCTGTCTGCAACACTACTAGTGATGCTGCAGCACATTGGACTGAACTCCCAGAACAAAAAGGATTTCCTTTCTATAGAGAGTTTAACAATGGGACTGCCACACTCAGTGCAGTGTTCCCTTGTGCAATAAACTGCCACACACTGTATTGAAATTTGCAATGTACAAGCAGTGGCACTGAAGCACAGTGAAACTGCAAATTAAAACAATAACTAAAAAAAAAAAAAAAATCACAAATCAGTGAATCAAAGTTGGTATAAGTGGCATTGGCAATTCCTATGCACATCAGTTACCTGTCCACCTCACTTCCACACATGCATAGCAATGCTAAAACACATCATCTCAATAGCTGCAGCCAAGAAGAATACTGTTTGTAAATATATGGCTATTTTTTACTTTTTTCCCTTTATTGGTCACTTCTCACTTGATCTGTGAATAAAATCAACATTTAGTGGCTGTCCCCTAAACATCAATATTTCTTTTTTTATTTTTATTTATGTAATTTGGACAAATTGCCAATCGCCCCAAATTTAGATGGATTTTGCTGTCTATCTGATGCAGGGGGCTCCTTATGTCAATAATGGAATTAAGGGGGAAAGCAAATATCACCTGCTATTATGTAGTGTAACTATCCCAAGATATGTCCAAGTACCATAAGTTTGAAAAAGCACACTAGTCTTAACCCTTGCCATTACTCTAACTCTAATGAAAAAAATAATATAAAATATCTAGATTCTCTCGATTTTGGAGGCATACATAAACCACTCATTCTTTTGTGTCACGCTTATTATAATATCTCCAGAACCCTGAGATGACACTATTTATCTGTAGTACATGATTCATTGTTATAAATCATCTCTGATTCATCTAAGGACAAAGGGGGGTCATTTTACAAAGGGAACACATTTCTTTCTTTAGTAGTTACTTCCTATAATTCTACTCTTATTTCCTTTAAAAAGACAAGTATTAATTTGTTGCTATCATGCAGCAATTCCATACAAATGCTATGCCTCAACAAGTGAATAATGTTAGCTATTAAAATCTGCTGCACAATGAAATATATGATCAGATAGTCATAGGATCTAGACAATAGATTTTAATGATTTCTGATATGCTCAAGGCACCAGCCCACATACTTTGTCAATCTGTATGTTATCTAGCCGCTGAGGCTATTTTTCAACAAACTGTTAAAACAGAATTAAAAATTGTCAAGCGAATAAATCTTCTTACTATTTGTAATTCAAGTGGTCTTATATATTTTGTTCAGTTATTTGAAATAAAACTGTAGTTTAAGTAGTGTTCTGTAGTTTTCCACATTATTGTATACCATCAGTTAAGTTTGCCTAAATTTAAAACAATTCAAACAGATAAATCAATCTCCTCTATACTCTAATCCAGGGGTTCTCAACGTTAGTCCTCAGGACCCCCTACCAGTCCAGGGTTTAGGGATTACCTGGGTGTGTCTAAGGTGTTTAGAAAAAAAAAACACCTTAGAGTCTAAGGTGTTTTTTTCCCTTTTTCTAAACACCTGAGACACACCCAGGTAATCCCCAAATCCTGAACTGGTAGGGGGTCCTGAGGAATGGGTTGAGAACCCCTGCTCTAATCACTGATGTGAGAATGCTCTCAGTCAATCACTTGTCCAGTTCCTGATATGAATTGGTATAATGGATTATAGTCAATAACAAGTAGGATTTTTAACGCTTGTATAAAGGTGGCTAGGCAGTTGGAAATGAACCAGAATCTCTTCCTTCAGTTGGTCAATACAAAAACAAGTGGTGGAAGGGTAGCAGCGTCTTGGTGGGGTCCCCAGATTTAAATCAATATGCACGATAAAAGAAACAAGAGGCACACAATGGTATAGTATGTTTTTGTAATTGATAGACGAATAAAGAAAAGCACTTACAATTTTCTGGAGCTTTTAAATAGCTCCAATGACATTGCATGGGCAGTATAATCCCCGCCTGTGGATATACACGTAGTCCTGGTTTTTTATTTTTTACTTTTTCCTTCAATTTTTAATTCTTTTTTTTTAGCTTTTCTTCTTTTTTAATATTTCTCTATTACTATAAGACACACTATCCTTTTATATTATTTTATGTATCCATGAGTTAATTAAATTTACATGTCACATGATCACCCAGCCATTTAAAAAAAAAAAAATTGTATGCTATATAAACCAGAGTGGTCCACGTCTCTGCATACACGTTGAAAAAGCCTGATGCCAGGTGAAATGCGTTGGTGTATAATTTTTATTTTTTTATTTGTGCATGAAAAGTAAAAACAGATTTGTAATCTTGTTAGTACAGCACGTACGTGTCAAGTAACAACAAAGTTGCAGTCTTGTTAATACATTAGGTAAAGAGTTTGACACTTAGCATACAAGATTGTTGGTTTGCACAATTTGTCTTTTATAATGGGTTGGGGCGAAATGATGAAATAATACTAATACAACAAGTGAGAGGAGGGCATGAGGAATTTCTGTGTAGTTTTGTCCCTGTTAATACAGTGTGTCCCTCTTGGACCTGTCGGATAGTGGGTAGTCAGGTGCTGAGTTTAGTTTTGTTGTGTGTTTTGTTCATTTAGTTGTTGGTTCGGTTGTTGTATTACTGGCGTGGACTATCGTTGATGTCTCAAGCTGGGCCAGGTTGGACGTTCGAGGCATGGGCTTTTCAGGAGGGTTGTACCCATGTTGGGGTGCCATTGACCTCCGGTATATGTCCATGCTTCTGTGTGTGTCTTTTGCGGTATGTAAGTTGTCGTAGTGTTATAGTTTGAGGGTGGTGTTTCTATGCCAGTAGTTGATCCGATGGTCTACTGGGGGGTTTAAGTATCCCCATGCATCGTGGTTCTTCACTTGTGTGTCTTTGCGTAGCTTGCGAGTGTTTATGTGTGTGGTTCAGCAGGTGCTTGTGCATTGTGGGTTCGTGATCATGGTGATGTTCTGCTGGCTAGAAGAGGTAGAGGGGTGAGGGAACTCTAAACTGGGGTGGGGTTATTGGGGCCCTCTTTGTTGTTGAGGTCCGGGTTACTGGTGGTGTGTGAGTCTTTTGTTATGGGGCGGGTGTCTCGCGGAGCGAGGTCTCTTTCCGGTAGGTGGTGAGGGTTGTGTTTTGAGTCCAGGAATAGGGGGTGGTGGGGGAGGGGAAGGAAAAGGGGGAAGTGGGGGGGGTGCTGGAGGTACCATCTCATTAATGTCTTGCTCTTTGTGGTTAACACATATGGAGATTGTGGCTGTGGCTTCCCATATTTCGGCCCAGTAAGATGGGTTTTCCGCCAGGTCTAAGTCCCTCTCCCAAGCTGTCACATATTTGAAAGCTACCTCTTTGATGTTTTGGATGATGTGCGAGTATCGTGCTGAGATTTGACCCTTTTGGACTGGTGCTTGCATGCATTGTTTTTCGAAGGGCCTTAGGGCCGTGGTGCTGACATGTTCGTTTGCTGATGTTTCGAGGAAACTTTTGATCTGAATATGTCGGAAAAGGTCAAATGTTCTGAAAGGTGTCATTTGCGGGAGGTCTGTGAATGGTATTATTTGTTGGTTTTTGAAAAAGTGGTGTAGGCAGGTGAGGTTGTTATCTTCGAAGCGTACACATTCTCTGGGTGTCATGCCCAGTGTGAATTGTATGTTGAGGAGCAGTGGGGTAAGTGGTGACGGGTGTGTTGTGAGGCTGCATTTGTGCGTTACTTTGTCCCATATTTTAATTGTGTTGGTAGGGCTGTCTGGGGTAGGGAGAGTCTCGCATGTCTTGGCAGCCATATGTATAGGGAGGGGAAGTCCCTGCCGAAGATATCGTGCTCGAGGTCCACCCATCGTTTAACTCAGAACGGTCCATGCAGGTTCTGGGCCTGTGTTAGTTATGCGTCTTGGTAGTAGTGCGTGAGGTGTGACAGGCCTAAGCCTCCTGCCTTGTTAGATACGTATAGGGTTTGTCTTTTTATTCTGGCGCGTCTGTTGGACCAGATTAACATATCAATTGCCGTTTGTAGCGGTTTGAAGTCTGGGCCAGAGATTGGTTTTGGGAGGGCTTGGAATAAGTATACAAGGCTTAGTAGCACATTCATTTTGATATAGGCTAGTCTGCCCAGACAGGAGATTAGCATGTTCTACCACGCAGATATGTCCTGGGTAATTTTCAGTATGGTGGGCGTATAGTTCAGTGAGTAGCTGTGGGACAGATCTGCTGGTAGGCAGATTACTAGAAATTGTATGTGGATGGATTGTAGATTGAAAGGGTATGTTCGTTGTATGGTGTTTAAGATGGATTATGGATGTCATTGGAGCTATTTAGAATGTGTATTGGTAAGGCCTCCATTTTGTCGATGTTTAATTAATAGCCGGAGACTCTGGCGTATTCATCTAGGGCCGTTAGGAGTGGTGGTAGGCAGGTCGGAGGTTCTATTATCGTTATTAGTAGGTTTAAAAGTTTTTAAAATAGTTTTATGTCCACATTCAGTAGCGAGATTGGCCGGTAGTGTCCGGGGTCGTGGTATGTTTTGTTTGGCTTGGGGAGGAGGCAGACGTTCACCTGCAGCATTTCTTGCGGCAGCGGTTCGCCTGTTAGTATGGTGTTGAACAGGTTGCAGGGGTGTGGGGTCAACGTGGGAGCAAATGTTTTGTACTATAGTCCCGTGAAAACGCCTGGGCTTTTATTTAGTTTGAGTGATTTTTTTGTCCCTGCAAGTTGTTCTGGTGTGATTCGGTTGGTTAGTGTTTGTGCAGCCTCGTTGGGCAGGGAGGGTAGTGGGACCTGGCCCAGGTAGTGGTCTATTAAGGTTTTATTGCGGTTGGGTTCCGACATGTGTCGTGGTTGTGGTTGTATAGGTCTGTGAAGTATTTTTGAAACACTTCAGCGATTCTGTATGGGTCTTCCGTTATTGATCCGTCTGGGGTGTTTATTTTGTCGATCTGTTTTTGGTCTGTTTTCAGTTTAAGTCTGCGTGTCAATAGTGTGTCGGTCTTATTTGCTTTGTCATAGATGAAATGTTTCAACCATAGTAGGGCCCTGGTCGAGTCTTTTGCCATGTACTCTTTAATGTTGAGTTGACATTTTTTGATTTGCTCATTCATTCCCGGTGTGGGGTTGAGTTTGAGTTTGGCCTCTAGGGTTCAGAGTGTAGACAGTGTGTTTTCTAGTTGGGCCACCTGTTGTTTTTTTGTGTATGGTTGTCCGATTGATTATTGATCCTCTCAAGACCACCTTGTGGGCCGCCCACAGCATGCATTTGGAGTCTACCGAGTCCTTGTTTAGGCTGAAGTATTGCGACATGGTTTGGGTGATCGATTGTCGAATCTGTGGGTTGTGTAAGAGGGTGGGGTTTAGTCACCATGACCAGGTTCGGGTCGTGCAGGGCAATATAATCGTCAGTGTTTTGTCCGCGTGGTCTAACCAGGCAATGGAGCCAATGGTCGTGTTTTTGACCATAGGCGCAAGTGCAGGGGAGATCAGGAAGAGGTTGATGCGGGAGGGTGATTGATGTGGATGCAAGAAGAAAGTGTAGACCACAGCTGTGGGGTGTTGGGATCTCCATGCATCTATCAGACATGTTCAGGAGAGGAATGTGGAGAACAGCATGTCTGCTTTAGCCGTAAGGGATTGGTGACGTGTGCGGGTTTGAGCACGGCGTCTGTCTACTGCGGGTGATGGAGTGGCATTGAAGTCCCCTCCGAGTATTGAGCAATTTTTTCAGGTGATTGGGAGATATCGTCCCTGTGGGTTCGCTTAATGGATAGGGGGCACATTTTTGTTTGCCGTTGGGAGAGCTGGCATTCGTTTGTTCGGTAGTGTCGGCTCAGGAGAGGGAATTCTTTAGCTTGGGTGAAGTGTGTCTCCTGGAGGAGATGTATGTCCACTTTCAATCTGTTTGCCCAGTGCATGAATTGGTGCCTTTTGGAGGGGCTGTTGAGGCCCTTGCAATTGATTGATAGGCAGGTCAGAGAGGCTGGCATGCTGTGGAGTGGGGGGTTGTTCGAGGCTGATATGCGCTGATGTGTAGTGTTGATGGCCTGGGGGTGTGGGCGAGAGGGGAAAAAAAAGGAGAGGGGAAAAAGTAGGGGGGTCGGTGTCGAAGGGAAGAAAGGGGTGTTGTGTGGGCGAGGGGGTCGAGTTTATAGTAGTTAGCAGGTTTGTGTAATCCCCCTGGTTGTGGTGGGGGGGATTCTAGATGTGGTGGTCTGTGCAGGGTCACAGGAGGAGATTGGACGTCCATTATGCCAGTTGTCCTCCCCCCGGGGTTGTCCAGAAGTCGCGTCTCGCTGGTGCATGTCATTGAGGTGTGCCCTCCGGGTGACTGGTTGGTTTCTGCCTGCGCGGGTGCTCGTTGGGGGACAGTTGTGGAGGGCAGGTTTTGATGATTGTGATTGTGTGTGGGCTTGGCTGGGTGGGTACATGTGGGGTGTAGTCAGGCATCAGCCATGCTGTTGGATGTGTTACAATGTTCCTGGTGTGGGCTGGCGGTCAGGTGTGGAGGGGTGAGTGTCCCCTTAGAGGTTTCCGGGGTTGTCTCCCACGGGTAGTGAGGCCGGTCAGTTTTTCATCTGAATGCTTTGGAGTCTGGGCATGGGGCTCCTTGTTGTAGGGTAGGGCCAATGACAAGTCAGGTTTGGGTATAGTCTGCGATTGGTGTTGTTCCCCATCTATGTGGTTGGCCTTCGCCTTATCAGGGGTAGTCGGTGGTTGTTTGGGGCTGTGGGCAGGGGGCCTGTATAGTTCTTGTATAGAGCGTGTATATTCGTGTGTGAGGCTTGTGTGTGAGTGGTTGTGCCGTCCATTCGTGCGAATATGCATTTCTCATTGATGATGTAGTTTAATTCTTGTGTGGTGGGTAGAATGTGCAGTCTTGGTCAATTCGGTGCTCCGTTATTTCATATTTGTTTTGTTGTGTGAACCTGTGCTCGGTTTGCCAGGGGTCCTCATGGCCTAACCAATTATAAACATTTGATATACCTTAACTATTTACAGTCAAAGAGGTCAAAGACCAACAGTTGTAAGAGGTAAAAACTAAGGAGGGTTTTTGGGGACACTTCTTGTTGTCGCGGTTCAGGAGTCGATTTGTGCTGTACGGGCCTCTTTGTGCATGACCCTGAAGCACGTAATGCTAGTGTCTCGTTCCGCTTGGTGGGAGTGGATCTGGGTGCCTGTTCCCGGGTTGCCAAATGCCATCGAGACATTGTCCATTAGAAACATTTAAACATTTGAAATACCATTGTTAATTGCATGTAAAATAGGTCAATGACCAACAGTAGGGAGATGCATAGGCATGTCTGGGGAAAGATATGGTGCTGCTGCAGATTGACATGGGTCACGGGCCAAGTTGTGCAGTGTGTGCCTCTGTTTAGGTGGGTGTGAAGAGCTTCATTACACAAACCTCACCCTATAGCGATGATATACTGGAGTGAGCGATGTATACAGTGTGTACAGATCATTGTCCTTTGAAGTATGCAAGGCTGGATTACAAACCCTACTTTCCCTTCAGTGAAACTGTTGCCAGGTTTGGTTACATATAGTTACTCTCGGTCACCAGGAGGCAATAGAGATTTCTGTTAGTAAAGACCCTCTGTTAACCTTGTCAGTGCAGTGATATACCTTAGGTGAGACAGTGAAGTGGTGGGCTTGTTGTAGTGGAATTGTTATTGCCTCGCATTTTGATTCAATATCAGTGCAGTTTAGAGAATAAACAAAAAGGTTTATTGTAGTTGGCTAAGTATTAAATTAAAGGACTAAATCTGTCCTACTGTGGTATGTCTCATCAGACGCTGGCATGGCATGGCCGCCGACTGGATCAGACGCGTTCTGTCTGAGCTCCCGCTCCAGGGCCGAAAGTCAGCGCAAATTGGAGGTTAACCGCGACCGGCAAACCCCACCGACGACCACACAGACCCCAAGTCACTGGGGAGAACGGGGATACCGCATGGGAGCCTGTCCAGCACCGACAGTAACCCGGATGGGCTCAGAGCTCGTTGGGGCTTGAGCCCGGATGGGACAGCCGCCCTCCCGGGTCTCCTGGCTGGCGGCTCACGTCCTCCCCCCTTTGGACCGGGGGGGGGTCATCCCGGTCTGCAGCAGCACTATCCAGCGCACCAACCTGGACCTATTCAACCACCCTGGCGGGGAACATCACCCGGGCGCCAGTCCACAAGATGGCCGCCGCCATGTGCGCGAGCTGCTAGAGCAATTGAGCTGACATCTGCTCAAAAGTGAGGAATACTGCACAGCTAAAGAGAACAGCACCCACTGTTATTCTACCAGCCTAATACAAAGCAATAAAGCTGAGATCAACACCAGCGATCTATCACTCAGGCACACCCACAAGCACTCACAGAGTGGTTCCTCGAAGAGAGAGACATGGCCCCAGCGACGAAGCCCTGCACATCGATCCTCTCAGAGCATCGCGAGGAAGCCGACTCACATGGACCGAAAGCCCGTAGCTGTGAGGTCACCCTAAAAACAACATAGCTGCAGGGATTTAACTCCCACCCGAGGCAGACACTGCAATAATTCGCAAGTACTCCACAAGGGGACTATCACTCTGCTACTTGACTGGACTGTGCCTCACATGGCAGTTCCCAAGCTTTTGTCCTTCTGCAGCCACCACACTTCATAGGCAAGCCTCATGGCACACAGACACTGATTCTTATCTAGCAGGCGGGGAGCTAACCTGGGGTGGATAAATTAACGCATGTTTGAAGCTTTTACCTATCGATATACTAAACTAACCGGTGTGACCATTTGCTTTAGTTAAAGTAGCCTTACTGTAGACAACACCAACCTTTCTAAAGTAAATTGCATGAGACCTAGCCTGAATGTCATTTTATGCTTTAAAAGCACTAGCCTGTCTAAGTAATTAGCGTTGCAAACCAGCATTACCTGTATCAATCATAGACTAGCTACTGTACTGCTCAAGCTTGTTGACTATATACACTTACTCTATACCTTAAAAATTGTGCATGTTACTCATATGTCCCGCATGTTATGTGTGGAAATTGTCTGAGGACTGCTCTTGGGGCACCTCAAGCCTGTTTGCACCATCTAAACGCACTGCAAAAAAAATAAAAAATATATAAAAAATATATAAAAAAAAAAAAAAGAATAGTTTTGGATGTCCAATTCTCAACTTATTGTTGGAGAGGATGTGAGGATGACTTTAGGTGTTCACACCCGTAAACTCCCGTACCTCCCCCGTGACTAAAGTCATAGCACATTAACCCTTTTCACGTGGAGTATTCATGTGTTTTTCTGGGATTGGGGAATGCCCAGGGCAGGCTGGTGGTCTATGTAGTTTCAAGGGTTCTAACTCCATTGTCATAGGAAAAGATCAGCAGTTGTCAGCATTAACCTTTGAACTACCACATCCCCATCCAGCAGAGGCAACCTGTCCCTGAATGATGGACGATATGCTAAGCTAACCCAGTCTGCCTGGACACCGAGAGACAGTGATCGGACTGTGCTACATGCATTGTAACACTACATGTTACCTTGGGGTCTGGTCCTTAAGGGGTTAAATTAACAAGGTTCTCTCGGGGTGCAATTGTTCCGCTTGGTGAAATGTAGGGGCTATTCGCTAGGTGGTGTGGGCTGGGCTTACTGAGAGTTGGCAGCTCCGTAGGCCATACCGGTTGTAGTTCAAACGCCTCTGAGAGCCTGCTATGTGCTATTGTGCTCCTGTAATTGGCATGCTTAGCTCGTATGCTGTGATTCAATGGGACATTATGTAGAGCTGTCCCGGGTATTTCCCTACCTGGATAGGTGTCCCTTTTGCGTTCCCCTTCTTACGTGCCTGTTTATTTTGAGTTAGCGTTAATGCAATTTGGTACTCCTTGTGGTCTCCTGGCTCTGTTTATCTGGGGAGTCAGGTCAGGCGAGGGCAGGGGATCCTGGGTGCGGGTAGGCATGGTTGGAGGACATCGTTATAGGTATATGTGGGTGAGGGTGAGAGTTGATCTCATTTGGGCCGGTCACCCGTTCTAGGGAGTCAGTAGACCAAGGTGGGTTGTTGGTAGGGTATACGGGGGGGTCATTTCCCATGGCGTGTCCCTTGGGCAAGCCTGAGTCAGTTAGGCCCTGGGACAAAGATGGCTGCCTCCCATCCCTAGCACTGAACATCGTGGCCACTGATGGCGTGGTTTCTTTTCATTTTTTGTTGCCATCCATTTCAGAAGGGGGTGTCGGAGGTCTGCAATTAGGAGGCGAGATGCGCTGTTATGTTCGCTGATAGTAGTGGATTGTGCACACGGAGCCTAGTTAGTGTATCATTTTTTTTTTTTCAAATAAAGTTGTTTCCTTGGACCCTCCAGTTGGTTTTTAGAAGATTTTATCCCGAGCACGCTCTCTTCTAATTCCTTGGTGGGGAACATACCACCTATGCCAGAAGGATTGAACAAAGCCAAACTTTGCTCCCTCTTTGTGAGTACCTCTCTTTTTATTATTTTTATCATCTTTTATCAGAGTACACTATATTTTGTTTTATTCTCCACATATTACATATTGATGACCTGCTGCTATCGCACTTAGAAGAACTTCAGCCCACGTCATTTGGGACCCTACTATCACACACCTGCTGCTGGCTACTAGCCCAAGATCTGACTAGACCAGGACTAGTGTATATCCGCAGGCAGGGATCATATCGCCCAAGCTCCAGAAAATTGTAAGTGCTTTTCTTTATTCTTCTATAGAGAACAAAAATGTACTATACGACTGTGGGCTTCTTGTTTCTTTTAGCTTGCATATTGATTTGAGCCTGGGGACCGAACCAAGGCGCTGCTACCCTTCCAGCACTCATTGAAGTGATTATAATGTCTACAGTATTCCTTTCAAAGACTATTAGGGTTATTAAGTAATGTGAACAGGGCTGTGGCAAACCTAGCCACTTGAACTATAACTAGAGACTGTGCCTTTAAGGGTTGCCTACAGGTCTGGGGAGATATGCGCTTTATTGTTATGTATGTGCTTAATGTATTTTCTGCAGTGACTGTAACTATCTGTTTCGCCGAATGCAAATGGCGGTTTGTATGGGGATTTCCGTTCGTTTCACGAACGGCACTTTGGAGGGCCGTTCGTGAACCGAACGCGATACCCCCTAATAGCCCACACACTTAGAGGCGTGTGGCGCTAGTTAACCGATTGCAACAATGTTGCAATCGGTAATTAGAGGCTCTCCTGGGTGGCCGTCGTTCGACTACCGACCATGCGGCGGTCGGCCATCTTGGATCCTTTGTTCCCTCAGCGGGGTTATGTCGTCGAGCGCCTGGTACTAAAAACGGCTACTCGACGGCATGAGCCCCGCTGAACCTCCAGGGCGTTCGGGAGTTTCGGGACATTCGGTATTTTGTTCCCTAAAAGCAATCGGTTCTTTTTATATATTTTATACGAATTGTGTTGTTCGTGCGGCGTTCGGTTATTTTAGCTGGGATCTGAGCGGTAATCTCACGAATGATACCCTCAGACCCCAGCTATCTACCGAACGTCCATTCGTGTAAATCCACTGTATATTCACCGAGTTATGGATTTTTATGTGAATTGTCGGTTCTGCTGCACGAGGGGATAATCCACTTAACGGTGCATTCTGGGAAGATGATCCCTCTCGTGCAGCAGTGCCTGATGGGAGAAATATGCTGTAATGTAAGTCCCCCATGTAGTCCCCTCTGGGAGTGCCCCTGGGGAGGGACTCAGGAAACCCCTTGCATGGGGACTTGTATAAATTGTCCTGCTGATTAAAAGGTTGTCAGTTGACTCCCAGAACTGTGTCTCGTCCGGTTATTGGGAGGTTGGGGATATTGCCTTGTTGTTTCAGCGCTTGACTGTGGATTCGTTTCTGAACCAGCGGAATTCGTGGATTTATTATTGGCGTTCCGCTACAATTGGTGGCAAGCGACGGGATCCAACTCTACAGCCGAATACAGCGCATTCGAACGAAAGGAACAACCGAACGGAAAGGCAATTCGTATGAAACAAGCAGACGAAAGCGATCAGTGAATGGGTACTGATTATACGGCGTTAAAGAGACAGACGCTAAAGGAGCTGCTGGAGGCTAGAGGGAAAAGCGCTAGCAACAAATCGAAAGCAGTACTGATTGCAGAGCTGATGGAGGGCGACCAAGCACACAACAGTCCACCCCCACCTGCCAGAGAGGAAACACCATACCAGAGGGAACTGAGAACCCGGCTGGAATTTGTACCACAGCCAGTAACCCTGGACATCTTAACCGTGCTGATGGCGGACGTCCAGGATTACATTATGGCACAGCAGCACCAGAGGTCACCATCCAGGGCAGAATCCATCGCCAACTCATTCTGCGCTCCAGTGAAGCAGAAAATACCTTACCAGGCATTTAAAGCATTCTGCGAGGAGAAGGATGAGATTGACGGATACCTGCAGGATTTTGAGCGGTTGTGCGACCTACACGATCTGGAACAGGCTATGTGGGTACCCCTACTGGCAGGCAAGTTGGCAGGACGAGCAGCAGAGGCGTATCGCGCTGTGCCCAGAGAGGATAGCAAGGACTATTTTAAAGTTAAGAGGGCAATTCTGGAGAGGTATGCCATAACCCCGGAGGCGTACCGGCGTAAATTTCGGGGATTGAGGAAGCCAGAGAAAGATTCCCACGCTGAGTGGGCACATAAGCTCGACCAAGCGTCGCAAGGATGGATTCAGGCGAGCCAAGCTACCACCATGGAGGGACTGCGCCAACTCATCCTGCTGGAGCAATTTTTTAACGGACTGTCACCCGAGGCACAGGAATGGGTAAGAGACAGAAAACCCCTCACCTTAACCGAAGCCGCCCGGTTGGCGGATCAGCATTTTGACGCCAGGAGGCATCATGGGCTTCTCAACAGGGCTCCCCTGAGACCAGCTGTACCACACCACCCAGCCATCTCCACACCCGCCAACGCTACTCCATTCCGGCCACCACCAGGAAACCCCCCACCGCCATCACGCTACAATGGCAGGGCCAACATACAATGCCATACCTGCCGGCAGTGGGGGCATATGTCCCGGGAGTGCACCCAGAATCGGAGCAGGCAGGCGTGGAACCAGGTACGGCAAAACTCCGCTCCAAGGGCGGCGGCCCATTTCTACCACACAGAACCTGACCACTCAGAGCTGACAAGTCTACCTACTGAGGAACCATTGGGGGTTCTGTATGAGGTGATGTCTGTGCAAGCCACGGACAACCGGCAGCATCAC